AAATGACTATTTGGAAAAATAACTGAATGGAAACCAAACGCAAAGAGACCCAGAGGGTGACTCAAACAAAGATGGACAAATAAAATTAAATAGGACCTGAAGTTGCTGGGAGTAAGGAATACAGAAGAAGAGGCAAAAGATAGAGAATATTATAGACAAAATGTTGTTGCAGCAATGGACCATAAAAAGTCTGTAAAAAGCCAAAGAAGATAAAAATAATTATATTTGCGTATAATGATAAGATTTTACAGCATAACTTTTCTTCCGTATTCTTTTACAATGCTTCATATAAATATATGTTTAAAATACAATTAATAATTTAATATTTTAATTAATTAAAATAAATTAATAAAAAACAATCAATATTTTATTAAGATTAATACATGTATTATTTATTTAATATTAATACTTAAAAAATTGTATTTATATACAGAATGATTCTTATAACAATAGCCACTCGTTTATTTTAAAATAATTTTTTTTTTTTATTAGTTTCATATTAGGGTGGTTTTAGTGAATAAGGATCATTTAAAAACTTAACTTTTTTAAAATCCTATACCAATAAAATTCAATACTTTCAAAATATTGTCATAAGAAAACTAATCAATGCACCTCTTTATATCTCTAATTATACACTCCATAACGACCTTAACTTAAAAACAGTCCATGAAGAAGCCATATATTAGTATATATTAGTAATGGGTTTTGATAAATACTTAATCGTTTTTTTAGTCATTCTTGTAATAAATTGTGACTTGATGGTTTAATAAAAGTTTATTCAAGATTATACAGTGCTGATATGATAGATTATGCTGTGATACTAGCTAATATTAAAATGTGTTTTTGAAGTTAAATTATGTCTAACATTTGGTCCTGATGTACCAATATTTAAACGGTTTCAACAAAATTGGAGAAATATAGATACTAACAAATTTAGTAATGTAGTAAATGATATAGCTGAAAGGGGTGTTAAACTAACTCCTCCATTAGTTTAAATTTGTCCTAACTATACATTTTTCAGGTTATTGTTTTCATTAATTCTATTGTGGCCGTATTATCATTTTTGGATCGTATATATTTTAGTGTTTACAATAATTTTGATATTTTAACATTTTTTTAATACATATTAAAATGGCTTCACGGAAAACTTTACGAAAAGATACATTTATATTTTTGATTGGTTTTCCGTCAAACCAAATTATTGGTAGTAAATTACTGTCAATAAGACAGGTACTATCGGTTTTTTTTTTAATATTCGTCATGTTAACCTAAGCATTCTTGAAAGCTCTAAACTGACAATAAAAGAGGTAAGTATTTTTTGGCCAAAAGCGGGTATACCTATCAGTGCTGAACAGTATTGCATAAAAAAACTTCAAAAGTATTACGATGAATGGAGAAATTTACAAAAATTGCAATACATAAAATCTGACACTCAAGCAAAAAAAAATGAAGAATTTAGTTCAAAACTAAATGATTTGTTTGACATTGCTCAAGTTGAGGCCCTTAATTTAATGTCATTACAAGAAAATAGAGATTTTTTATTAATGCAAAGACAAAAAGGACGTCCTGGTATTATGTTAGGAGTTGATTTGAATATTGTACAATAAGAATATACGATAAGAGTAGAAAAATTTACATGAATACATTTTGATGGAAGAAACCATTCATTAGTAACACTTCCCATGATTTTTTTGATTTTTCTAAAATTGTTATTTTATATTTTCAATGACTTAATTATATTAGTATTAATTGATATTATTAAAAAGAAGATCACGGTACCACTTACTTTTTAAACTTCTGAGTGGGTCTCCAGGTATGGACAAGGTTGAGAGGTTTTTTATTAGAGGATAAGAGTGGGAGAGTAATTTAATGTGGAATCTTTTATAGTAGGATATGGCTTCTTCATGGACTGTTTTTAAGTTAAGGTCGTTATGGAGTGTATAATTAGAGATATAAAGAGGTGCATTGATTAGTTTTCTTATGACAATATTTTGAAAGTATTGAATTTTATTGGTATAGGATTTTAAAAAAGTTAAGTTTTTAAATGATCCTTATTCACTAAAACCACCCTAATATGAAACTAATAAAAAAAAAAAATTATTTTAAAATAAACGAGTGGCTATTGTTATAAGAATCATTCTGTATATAAATACAATTTTTTAAGTATTAATATTAAATAAATAATACATGTATTAATCTTAATAAAATATTGATTGTTTTTTATTAATTTATTTTAATTAATTAAAATATTAAATTATTAATTGTATTTTAAACATATATTTATATGAAGCATTGTAAAAGAATACGGAAGAAAAGTTATGCTGTAAAATCTTATCATTATACGCAAATATAATTATTTTTATCTTCTTTGGCTTTTTACAGACTTTTTATGGTCCATTGCTGCAACAACATTTTGTCTATAATATTCTCTATCTTTTGCCTCTTCTTCTGTATTCCTTACTCCCAGCAACTTCAGGTCCTATTTAATTTTATTTGTCCATCTTTGTTTGAGTCTCCCTCTGGGTCTCTTTGCGTTTGGTTTCCATTCAGTTATTTTTCCAAATAGTCATTTTTATCTCTATACATGCCTGGCCCATCCTATGCGCATGCTTTTCAAGGTCTCAACAATATTGGATTCGTTATATAGTTCTTCTAAGTTTTTATTACTTCGCATTTCATATTCGCCTTCATTGTTTCTCTTTTGGCCGAATATCTTCCTCAATATTTTTCTTTTAAACACTTCTAGTTTTTTTTCATATAATTATGCTGTCGCCCAAATACTGCTTGCATATAGAGCATAAGGTTTGTCCAGAACTTTACACAATGTTACTTTGGATTTTCTTGATAATAGTTAGTCATGTAAAATGTAAAATATAACAAATAAGAATTTAGCACAACCTACATGGTCAATTATAGATCCATAGCGCGATAAAAAATGTGGTTTGGCATGGTTAATATTTAATTCAGTATGACATAGTAATTTATTTTGTGTGTTATAGTAGCGTATACTATAGACAATGTTAAAATATTTTATAAAGAAAAATTGGCTAATTCCGCTACACCAACAAAATTTTTGGGGAATTGACGTTTCATTTAGCAGAAACATATTGTACTATAAATAAGTCTCAATAACAGATATTTGTTATTCTTTAATAGCATAATCGGATAACATTTGTTTAAATAATGTCAACTTAATTTCTAAAAAATATTATTTCAGACAACTTTTATACATTTTTATACAACTTTTTTGTATATTTAATTCGGTTAGTTTTGCGTTGTATAATTTTAAAATAAATTTTTTACACATTGTTTTTTAATAATGGACTCAACTAGTTTTAACAATAGTTGTTGATTTAAATGTTGAATTTTGGTAAAATTTTATTTTGCAACTATGCAATGAATTTTGAATTATGTATTTTTAGATATTATAACCTTGCAAAATTCGAATAACATGCAATGTGTTTATGTAGATATTTTGGCTTTCAATCACTTAAGTTACATGGCGTTTTAGTCCTAAAACCCAACCAATCTCCTGCATTTATAGAGACTTTATTAGCTACTGAAAAACCAAGACGTATTTTGAAAAAACAATCTATTAAATAGGATTTAAAAAACAAGTAGTAAGAGGGATGCAAACATTTTTTTCATTTATTTAGGAGGCCACGATTCCATACACTATCAAAGGCCTGTGAGTTGTCAAGAAAGGCACATATGCAATATAATTTTTTTTCAAGCAAGTAGGATATTACGTCTACTACTCTATGGATTTGATGTATAGTGAAGTGAGAAGCCCTAAAACCAAATTAGTAATTAGGTTATATGTTATTGACAGAGAGAACGGTAAAAGACTTATTGTTCTGGAGGATTTTGGCAAGTCAGGGGGTTTATTGGGTTTAGGAACTAATAAAACAGTCGAGAATTTCCATAATAGAGGGAAATAAGAAAGTCTAATGATTGCATTAAATATATGAGTTAAATGGATAATAGCTTTTTTTGGAAGACATTTTGCAACCTCAGCCGTTTTATACAATTATATAATGATGAGTTGAAATCTATACATTTTTACACAAAAACAAATAATTTTATTAACATGATGTTTATTTTGGAACTGAAGAATAAAATTTCGATTGGATCGCAAAACAGTATTAAAAAAATATTAATATTAAAGAACTACTTAATCTTAAAATATGTTACCTAACTATTCTCTAATATTATTTTTTTACAAAATAAAAATGTCAAATGTTTGTTATATATTTTTTAAATATATAACATAAAATTACAAAAAATATTTAAAAAATTAATTTTTTTTTAAGATTTTAAGATAGCCAATTTTTAGATAAGTTTTAAAGAAAAATTTTGATATCAAAAACTCTTATTTTAATTCAGTAGTTACGTTTATACAGCATTTTGAAATTTGATAAATTTTGATTTTTTATACAATTTTTCCTATTCTTATCCATGGAAAAGAAATCGCGTACTGTTACCAGTAAATAATATAATAAGTGTTTACTGCTGTAATTTACATAATATGAACTAACATTTGATACCATAGGAAAATTGTAAAAAAAATCAAAATTTAACAAACTTCCAAATGCTGTATAAACGTAACTACTGAATTAAAATAAGAATTTTTGGTATCAAAATTTTTCTTTAAAACTTATCTATAAAATGGCTATCTTAAAATCTTAATAAAAAAATTAATTTTTTTTATAATTGCGAAAAATTACATAAAACATATTTTAAATATAGTTTTATATTGTAAAAATTGAATTAAAAAAAAAAATTATAAAATGTTATAGATCATAAGTTATATGAGTTGTCAGTTAGATCCGTTCCACCCTATATATTTGTATATTTGTGCACTGTAAAAAAATTGTTTTAAAAATAAAAATTAATCACGGTAATTTTCTTACAGTCGTAAAAATATGATTTATTTACTTTATGCATATTTATTTAATAACAATTCTATAATATAAAATATTAATGCACACATTTGCATATGTTCATTTTATACCTTCTTTAGTTTCCAACAAGTTATTTATAGTAAAAGTATTTTATTCTTAATGAAATTTCATTCGTTGATTTTAATGTCTCTTTTCGTTTTTGTGTTTAAACCAGGCGATGCAGATCAAAGTTTAAAATATCGTCAGGATTATAGAAATTATATCAAAACAGTGACAAATTACATTCGTGCACATATTGGATCAAATGAAATACGGAATCTAAAATTGATACGAGATATAAATAGTACTATTAGTATAAAGGAAGCATTCAAACCAGACCTGTATCTAATTGATTTCACAAATAATTATTCTTATATAATAAGTATACTCAATTTCAAGTATACTGAAATACTAAATAAATTCCTCGAATACACGCATATTGTCATTGATAAATGTCAGCAATTTCAAGATAAAAATGTATCGGAAAATTTTATTTGTTGCGTAACATCAATTATAGAAGAAGTAAAAAATTCCAAGACTATGTTTGAAAATCTCTACAACGCTATGAAGTTTTTGAGCTATTTAGATGTAAGATATGTGTTTGTTGGATCAATTGTAACAAATGTTATAATTGATGAAATTGACTTTTTTCAACAATATGTCTTACAAGAAATATCAGAGGCCAAACCTTTTGATCTTAACAACTTACCAAATCTTGAAGACTCTGAAACGAAATTTAAGAATTTGAATGAATTTTATACAGAAGCAACAGAAAAAGTAAACAAACTCTTTAAAAATAGTAATATCATCGACACTTCTATAAAAACTGACAAAACAATTGAACTTAAGGAATGCTTTTACGAAAACGACTCTTACTTAGTCTATTTAACATGTAGTAAACTTAATTCATTTTACAACGAAACCATAGAAATTTGGTACAAAAACCTTGGCTTTGAACAATTTCTCAACCCTATTATACCTGAGTAAGACTGATTACATTTAAAATTTTATTTTATATACTTTTTTAATTGAATATAAATAACTGAATATTATTTTAAATATAAAAGAAATTTAAATATATTTAAAAGCACAACATAATAAAACTACTGCTTGTCCATAAACATGAAAAACTTTATTTTATTCTTTACTTCTCTATTAATTAATTTATTTGTATTATTTATTTTAAAATATTATTGTAATATGACTATAGTAAAACTTTATTATAGAATATATTTTGAATTAATTAATTTTATGAAAAAAAAAATTACATTTTAATAATATCCTGCATCGATATCATATTTTTATTGTTATATGAATTAATATTAGTATATTACATATTAAATTTCTACAAATAATCAACCCTATTATAACTGGATAATTTTTCATATATTAAGATTTATTTTTGAATATATATTTTAAATCTTAATTTAATTTTTAATTAAACAATTTGTAAGATGCACTATGATAAATTCAAAATAAACAAATATATGTTTATTTACTTCTTTACACATTTATTTGTTTACTTGTATAATTTTAAATATTTTAATTCAAGTTCTATATTTCTAATCAATCTTACAAAATTTAAGAATGCCTATATTTATATTTATTTTCTATATTAATTACATTTTTGAACATTAATAACTTAATTTGTTTTTTAAATATATAAGTTATTTTAATTTAAAGCTTAAATTAAATAATTTGTTAAATACTTTATGATACATATATAATAACTCAATATGTATGAATATATTATATTAAAATATTAATGTAATGTAAATTTACTAAACCGTCTTTTATAAAAAATTTTAAAAGAGTTGATTTTATGAAAAAAATTACATATTTTAAATATTCTGTAACATTATTATTTTGTGGGTCTTATTTTGAATCATTATTTATGGTATTTTATATATAGAATTATATTTAATATGGGTTAAGTGAGTATAAATAAATACCCACTTTTATGCATAATAAATATTAGAAGTATAATAATGCCGATTTTACAAAACTATAACAAGCCCAAATCCATGACAGAAATAATATTAAAAAAATTATTTTCCCGAATTGTATTGTTCTTTTCTGTTTAATAATTTCATTCAATTTCTATATTTTTAATCATGTTTTGAAAATTTAATAAATAGAACTAAACAATGTCGAATTAATAATACTTAAAATTATATTATTTGTATTTTTACGTTATAATCATAATATTTTTTTTTGATATAGACTCATGCCTCCGATAGATCCTGCACTCAATCAAAGTGTTGCAATTGAAGCCCTCAATATTATTCGTCAAGAAACTGGTTGGAAAACGATGGATCACATATATATAATTTATAATGGTAAACACTTAAGCATAGACTATATACTAAAAGACTCCATAAATAATATTAATTTTCGAATAAAAAAAGAGCATATACCACAACTATTACGATGTAGGTATACAGAAGTATTGAAAAACTACTGTGTATTATTATCTGCTATATTGTCTTTATGTAATACAGAAGCAAACAATTTTAATTATCATTGTTTAAGTGAATTATTTGGCTCATTCAACAAATCCGAAAAAATGTTAGTTGGGCTACATACAGCTATAACTACTTTAAATAAATTAATAATATGGCGTTTTAATTCAAACTCTCAATCGAGTTTACATAAAATATTAAGGTGGGTTGAAAATACTCTCACTTTCTTACAGAAAAATGGATTTTCTCAAGATAAATTTGTTGATCAACAAGGTAACATAGACTTGGAGAAGATTAAAATACTTTTGACAATATTTCAAAATTTTCGTTATGACTTTTCTATAGAATTAAAGCATGATTTGAGTAACATACACGGGCGTTGTTTAATAAAAAATCCTTTTTATGACAAATTTTTAATGATAGATGACTTTTTTAATTCAGTAATCACATTGTATAATCCTAATATTTTACGGTCAACCCAAATCTATCTTAATGCTTGTAAGTTTTTTGACAATTTTTGTGAAAATGCTTACAAATCTTGTTATGAAGATCTGGGGTTCAGTAAAGTTAAATGTCTCAATATCAGTTCGGAGAACAGATTTTTTTAAACTTATTGTGGATTAGATGAATTATTTATCTATTTAGTTTTCACCATATAATAAAAACTAGATATCAACGAGTTGAATAACTAAAGTAGATTTCTTGAATATGAAATAATAATAAAATATCATAATGTAGTGAATAATATTAAACAATAATAAAATATTTAAGTCTTAAAAATAGTATTTAATTTATTATTATAAAATTATATATATTATTTATGTATAATTTCTAAAATATTTATTTTTCTTTACGAAACATACTTTTATCTTGTCTTTTTTTGTAAATTTACTTGCAATGGTATAATTTAAAAAAATATTTCAATAAGCTATAAAAATATAATGTTGTATATAATAGGTAATAACATTATTCAAAAAGAATTTCATAAGTAATTTACATTTTTATACCTTAGAAAGAGGAAGTGTGTAGCCAATAAATGTCTAGTTCTAAAAATAACCATACCTAGCTTTACCTTCAGTATATATTGAAGAATGCTAATAACTTCTGAAATAATGGGAAAAAATTATTATGGACCAGTAATTTTTTTAATCAGATCATTTATTGTTTTGAATCTAGTATAATTTTTTTATTGTTATTAAAAAAAATAAAATTGACACTATTATAAAGTTTGTTGCATGTATAAATAACAAAAATACGTAAATGTTAAAAAAAGTATTATTTTAAGAAAAATCAAGTATCTAGCTTAAAAAAATATCACCATGTTGATTATAACAATCTATGTTAAGAAATTATAAAAATATATACATCATGATTAGGATAAAATTGCTTAATTGTTAAAACTAGAATATATATAACATTTAACACATTGAATAAAGAAATGTATATGACAAAAAACATATGTTATCCTAATGTTGCTATAATAAAAATGGATAATATTTATAATATAATATTATGGTTTTAAGTACTATAATCATTATACAGACATCACTGAACATTAAAACATCAAATTCCTTTGTTATTAATTTTACATCAATTTATATTACTACAATTAAAAGTGAATTACATATAATGTAACAGTATTTTGTTTAATTATTCGTAAACAAAACTCTATACCCTTATTTTAATAAAACCTACCATATGTAGGTGACTATCAATTTTCTATATTAATAATACTTTTACATTCAAATTAATTTCCCTAGGTATTAACTTTAACGAAGAGTTATATTAAACATCATCTGTCTTATGCAGATTATATTAAGACTATGAACTTTTATACTATCACTTAAACATTACCTCAAACATAGTGTGATATCTTACCAACTTGACCGTGACCAACGTCTTGACACTTCAGCTACAATATACCCACCGGAATAGAATCAATATTATAGTGCTATTATATATAAGGATTATCCACTCAATCATCTCATTTAGTCCCAATAGACTCATTCATCTCTTGCTGACTTTGGGTGACTCTTTGATAAACGCACCCTATATTTTGGACAACGCGCATTTAATCACAGAATTTAAAGAGTTAAAAAACTACTTAAATTTATGGCACTTTGATTGTATACATATAATTTCAAGTTTTTATTATGTTCATAATTAAAGTTGCCTTGTTAAAAGGAATGAAAATATTATTTCAGATACAATAAATACTTAATATAATTTATCAAATTTTGAAATTAACATAATACTCAAATTATGGTATATAATAAGTCATTTTTGTATCAACTTTTTATTACGGAATAATAGATATGAAAAAAAATGTAATAAAACGTATTAAATTAAAAATTAATTACGACTTAACTGGTCCTTTTTTTTTAATAATTACAAATTTTGTATCTTATCTGTTGCAAGATAATTAAAATGTCGATGTGTATTTACTATAGTTTATATACTATTATTATATTTACTATAGTATAAAAGATCTATTTTTTATTTCTATAAACAAGAATATTTTACGTTTGGTCAATCTTCGATGTAAAATATAAATAATAATAATAATAATAACTGTTATTATTATTGCATGTTGTGAAAGTTTGTAATGCTTATAATGAAGAGGAATCAGACCCTTGGGGATTTTGGACACGAGTGTACGGGAAGTGACGAGGACTACCAATAACATTATCATCATCAAGCGTAACAGTCATCAGCTGCGACCGCTAATTTCCAGCGGGCTAACTTTTGATGGTGTACCGTTTCGCATCTGTGTCCTCGTTGTCGTCGGTTCGCCAATTAAATTGATTAAAAATTATAAAAAAAATTACCACGACCCTATCTTTATTTCTCTTGTCCGCCGTAAAACCACTCTGATTAATCACGTTCATACTCTATTATAACTAACCCCTTCCAGCCAATGTCTTTTACCATACTGTGCATCCATTCGCACCGTATAATCATTGGAAATCATATCCGGAACACGATAATCTACGATGACAATAGTACACATAATTAACAACATGAGTACATCATATTGTGTTTGCATGTACTTGTAACCCTTTCAAGTATTGGGTAATTCAACAATAATGTCACTAGGGTATAACACATAGATGATCATCGCGTAAAACCGCTACCACAACTACTTCCTTACACCTGTTTGGATGACCCGGAAGTGAACCCTAGTGTACCATAACTTCACCTGTCTAAATCACATTAACCAGCAGTGATATAAACTAAAAATCAATGTTAATCATTCCTTGTGTTCTTGATAATTTTTATTTGTCGTCGCATTGATCAAACTTAATAAAATTAAAATTAAATTGCGGTTCTAAATATGCTAATAATATCAAGCTATACTAAATTATTTTTCACAGTGCGTATTTCATAGCTATTCTTATTTTTTATTTTATAATTAATTTAAATTATTATCTAATTAAATGCAATTAATTGCATCAATGGAATTCTAAAAATTTTCCTTATTATATAAAATACATATTTTTTTTTTTTTTTTGATAGCGCAATAAGCATTACAAATAATATTATATCATAATATTTAATTAATTAATGAAGTTGTCTTTGTGAAATTTCAATTGAACATATATAGTTCAGTATGTGATTTATACAATTTTGTATTAAGGCTCAATACTTTACGTGAGAGTTTTATTTTTATAAAACGTTTAAATAAAAAATTAAATGAAGTTTTAGTAAACAATTTTTTATCATTTTACCATATATTTTAATTTACTTTATATTAATATAACTCTGAAAATTTAGACATTATTTACACTTAATGAAGCAAATGTATGTGTATTTTGGTCTCTTATTATTCATGTGTAAATTAATTTAAAAATAAAATGGAGAAAACCAACACCAAATCAAACATTAAATTTTGTACGGGTACTATCCCACGGGATTTGGACCCTCAAAAACAAAAAAAAGAGGAATATACTGCATCAAATGAATGGCGAACTTACTGTCGTAGTGTTTTTTAATTAGAACAAACCAAACAACCATCATGAAATAAACAGCGATGTCGTGGGCTATAGTAGAGGCAGCAGTATTCTCTAGAACCTTTCTGAACCTACACAATCTCTCCCTCTTCCAGTCTACCAACAGTTTATGATGACAAAACAGCAAAGGATACGTCCTTTAATTACACGGCTTTTTCACTCTCATATTATACCCTCCTCTGAATATTCACCCCGCGCATATGACATGACCATACTGTGGTATATAGCACTAGGCATCCTAATCGCGATGACACTCTAACGAGCGCCTGCTTTTTCACACCCTTCTACTCTATTTCCTTTTTGACCAATTGAGCTCAACAGCATTAGTAAGTATCTTAACTCACCAAACTTTCGTTTTACACGATTATTGTTAAAATTACAAATTAAATTATCAAAAAAATTGTATGATAAGTCACGTTTAATTTCTGCGATGTATAAAATTAAAATTGAATTTTCAAATGATAATGTAAAGATTGTTTAATTACTATAGCTATTAATTTATTTATAAGATAAAAGTGATTTTTATGTATTATACCCAATGTAGTACGCGAAGAAACTTCTAACTAAGTATAATTTTCAACTGAAAACGAATTTAAAACTATATTATACATTTTTGAATATTATGATTTTGTTTGTTCTACAACAATTTTGTTAAATTCGATATTAATAATTGTTTTTAAATTCTGAACTTTGTTTATAAATAATCTCTCTAAATATGTAAAGAGTATTCTACTTGTTACTTAAACTGTTTTATTAAGACACTAGTTGTGCATTATTTTTCTTTATTGGATGATAAAAAATCGTAAAGGAACTTCCCTTTGAATATGCAATACTAAGGATTTTTGTATAACGCGAATGTTTAAATATTTTACATGCTAAAGTACTGTTGTTTTTTAGTATCCATAAGATCTTTGAAATCCATGAAAATATTCATGTCAGACTTAAAAAAACATTTATCGACCTTTACTCTTATTTGTATTCTTTATGCAAGGGGGGATACAGTTATCGAAGTACAAAATCTTGATGGGCATTACGGATCGAGGTCAGGTTTGTAAACCAGCTGCTACTTGGTGTGACCAAACAGTTATTAACAGCTAGAGATATGGTCGCAAAAACGCATAAGTAAACTCTTCGCTTAAGCTGTCATTTGTTGGGCTTACGCTTTGCTGTTAGTTACTACCGGAACAGCGATGTTAAAAGGCAATTTGCGGTTGAGACATCGACTACAGTTTTGCATTCGGATTTAGTGACGCGGGACCAAAACTGAGCCGCATTCGCAGATAAGAACAAAAGATGTGCGGTAGAGGGGTTAGGGTTAATGGTGAGGATTGTAAAGCGATTCTTTGGACGAACCGTACACCATCATACAGATAAGCGCGATTGCATGCATAAACGACAACATATATATCTTTGACCTCCTCCCCTGTACATATATATATATATATATACAGGAACTCTCAGAAGGGAAGCTACAATCAAAGTAATCAACTAAAAAAATATATACAAATAAAATGTTCCAATCGCACCATTGCAACTACCGATTGCACAATGGTCGTTATCACGTAGATTTGTCACTTGGGACTAAAGCCAATTATTTTTTTTCAACTATAGATCTACTTATATTATTAGAGTTGAAAAATGAGAATGCAAAGTTGTAACGACGGTACACTGTTTATGTATTATAGTTTCGCCTAAAAATTCACTTATTGATCAAAATGTATTGATTTTGATAAATAAGTGAATTTAATAAATTGT